TTTTCTCCCCTTTGTTTCTTTTTTTTTTTTTTTCTTTTCAAGATTCTCGGCTGTTTGTGCTTCTGCTCCCCCCCAGAGGCAGGGAGCATTCAATGAGATCTTTCCAGATGGATCTGGATGCACTTCTGCCCAGGCCATTTTCATGTACACGAGTGGAAACAAGAAAACGATTGCGGCTTTACATTCCAGCTGCTGGCAGCAGGTCCAGAATAAGGGCGGTACCTGTGCCAAGCATCAAATGTCCCATGTTGTTTCCCGCACCCGGCAGACTCGGCAAAAGTTGGCGCGCAGGGCATATTCAGGCTCGGCTTCAATACCTGGGGCAAGTACTGGTGGTTTAACGATGATGTCCTGGGCCTAGGTCCCTTTTTTTTTTTGGTACAAGGCTCCAATCTATTCGTGGGAAGCAGCACGTGCTGGGAACTGGGTCTAGCGTCCCATATGGAAATTTACACCGAATTTTGAAAGTTTGAGATGCCGGGGCCATTACCCGGCTTTGACTGAGAAAACTTTGAGAGAATTTGGCCCCGGCTTTGACTGAGAGAACTTTGAGAGAATTTTGTGCTACTTAGATAATTACTACAACAAACTTAGTCTACAGAAAAAAGGACTGCCCACAACAAAACATGCCACCACAGAGATCCTACAAATGCTCAAAACCCTGTGGATCCCTAGCAACCCTTCTAAAGCTCTCCAGCACTGTCTTACTCCCTGCCGAGCTCTTCCAGGCCTCACACCCCCACCCTGCTGGGTTACAGGGCAACACAACTCGCCCCAGCTCCGGCCAGCGTCGCCCCAGCAGCAACTCTTGGTTATCCCTTGGAATACCCAACCCAAAGCATCCCCAGATCTCTCTACCAGGCCTCACACTCCTGCATCAGCAGGTTACAGGGCAACACCCCCGCACCAGCCAGCGTCGTTCTGGCATCGAACAGCCGCAGATCACTGAGTATATCAGCAATGGAGCTGTCTAAGATGAGTTGCTAGAAGTCCCAGATACCAAAACCAACAAACCATGGATAAAGGAAAAAATCAGAAACATTGATGGCGACTACTCAAAACTCTACCAAGTCACTAGAATATGTGTGTCAAAAATCCTCCCAGCCACGAATCAGATAGGTGAAACCTATTCAATTCACCTACGACCACCACCAGCATGGCTGTTTTCAGCACCGTGATGAACCGAAGCTCTTCCAGGCCTCATGCTCCCATCAGGTTAGGTTACAGAGTTGCACAACATTGCTCCAGCACCGGGCAGCATTGCTCCAGTTATGAACCCCGATGACCACTGAGACTGCCCTCGCAAACAGCCCCCCAGAT